CTAAGCCTTTGGTTGATTTGATTTACATCCTAGGCCCTTTTAAAAGGTGTGGGGTTTTGTTTTTTGGAGGGACTATTGGGTGGTTGTTTTTATTTTTAATTTTGTGGTTTTATATCTTGATTTTTTTCTGTGAATCGCCCTGAGACCCCTGGGTATAGGGCGGTATATAAATTCAATAAATAATAATAATGCTTTTAATATATGTTGGAAGCTGCTCAGAGTGGCTGGGGCAACACAGTCAGATGGGCAGAGTACAGTGGTACCTCGGGTTACAGACGCTTCAGGTTACGGACGCTTCAGGTTACAGACTCGCTAACCCAGAAATAGTACCTCAGGTTAAGAACTTTGCTTCAGGATGAGAACAGAAACTCGCACGGAGGCAGCGGGAGTCCCCATTAGCTAAAGTGGTACCTCAGGTTAAGAACAGTATCAGGTTAAGAACGGACCTCTGGAACGAATTAAGTACTTAACCTGAGGTATCACTGTACAAATAAATTATTGTTATGGTTAACACATGTGTGTGTCTGCTTGAGTATAACAGGGGGAAGGAATTTTAAAATTTAAGGGATTTGGAAACATGGGAGAAAGCTGTGCATTTGTCTGCACACCCAACCTGCCCTCTCCCCTTTCCAAAATATTGATAGTTTTTTCTCTCTCCCCCCCCCATAGGTGACCTGCCTGCCTTGGAACGATGAACCTCTGGCGCCCGAGACCAACCTTATGAAAGAAGAGCTGGCCAAGGTGAACAGGAGAGGGATCCTGACCATCAATTCCCAGCCGAACATCAACGGCAAGCCCTCCACCGACCCGATTGTGGCTGGGTCCCGACGGAGGCTACGTCTTCCAAAAGGTAACATGGCTGGGGACATTATGCTCTTCTCTCCTTCCCTTCCATCTCTCAGTCCAAGCAGTTCTGTCCTCTTGCATAAGATCAATTTTTGTGTGAAAGGAAGAACCACACTGCCTTTCGTGGCAAAGCTTTAGGCACTTCCAGGGGTCAGGCTGGATGACCTCTGGGGTCCCTTCCACTCCACAGTTCTGCGATTCCAAGTCGTGTGCTATGGCAAATTAGGAAGGTAGATTTGTTTGACATGTTTATAGGCTGCTGTTCAGGGTCCGGTTTCAGGAAATGGTATACATCGCTCAGTAGGGATAGGAACACAGGAAGTTAGTTGTCTTTTAACATGAAGTCATATACAGTGGTACCTTGGTTCTCAAACACCTTGGTTCTCAAACGCTGAAAACTTGGAAGTGTTCAGGCAGCTAGTCCTAGTCTTTATAACCCTGTACCTTCTTCCAGAAGGCAGAAGCTGAAAGAGATCATTTCCGGGTAGCACACTATCCTGCGCTATCTCTGCCGCTTTCTTATGGCACCTGGAAGAATAGAATTGATCCAAGGTGGGAAGAGTGCACCCAATTATTCTCTCCGCAGTCTTTACAACCCTGGACAACATTGTTTTTCGCCTGACCGTGCAGCTCCCAAACCACACACACAGACCATAATACACTCTCCACAGTGCAATGGTAAAATGCCATCAACAGGTCCTTTCAACCCTTCTCTTTAGACACAGGAACATAGGAAACTGTGTTCTGCTTAGTCAAGCCATTGCTCTGTCCAGCTCGGTCTCATCCATACGGACTGGTAGCAGCTCTCTGACGTTTCAGACCAGACTCTCTCCCAGGCAGACCTGGAAATGCGGAGGGTTCAACCTGGTCCCCGAGGCCTTCTGCATGCCAGGCAGGTGTTCTGCCACTGGGCTGTGGCTCGTCCCCTCGTCCTTTAGCTTGAAAAGTTGATCTGTAGCTGTAACTTGGCCCAAGCAATTCTCCATACTTGGTAGGCGTACACAAAGGTAAGGGGACCTCAGGCCGCAGGCAGCCTGGCCTAGTGGGAAGATTAATTAAGTGACCCAGCAAGATCGGATCTGATGAAGCATCACTTGCTACAGAGGAAGTATTACAAAATAACTTCCTTCAAGGCAGACAGCTTCTCCATAGGCAGGTGGTATGTTTTAGCAACGATATCAACTGGATCCCTAAATAAAATGGGAATATGGGCAAAAGGTATTGAGCTATTGCTTGCCAGCTTCCAGCCCCCGCTTGGGCAGGGGGCATCTTGTGCTGCCATCATGATATGTAAATTTACAGGGCCGACGCTGGCCAGAACCCCTAAAGAAGTCCCGACAAAGCTGCCGCCGAGCCAGGCTTCCTTTTCAGACACACACTCTGCAATGCAAAAAACACACTCCGTGCAGTGCACACACTCTCCATGGCAATGCAACTACACACTCCGTGCAATGCAAAAAAACACACTCTGTGCAATGCAACTACACACTCCATGCAATGCACGCACAAACCTCCGTGCAATGCAACTACACACTCCGTTCAATGCAACTACACACTCCGTTCAATGCAACTACACACTCCCTGCAAAGCAAAACACACTCCATGCAATTCAACTACATTCCCATGCAATGCAACTACACACTCCGTGCACTGCACACACCCTCCGTTTCAATGCAACTACATACTCCGTGCAATGCACACACACTCTGTGCAATGCAAAAACACACTCTGTGCAATGCAACTACACCCTCCATGCAATGCCCTCACCTCCGTGCAATGCACACACCCTCCGTGCAATGCAACTACACACTCCGTGCAATGCAACCACACCTTCCGTACAATGCAACAACCCCACTTCGTGCAATGCAGCAACCCACTTCGTACAATGCAACAACACACTTTGTGCAATACAACAACACACTTTGTGCAATACAACAACACACTTTGTGCAATACAACAACACACTTTGTGCAATACAACAACACACTTTGTGCAGTGCAACTACACACTCCATGCAATGCACACACACCCTCCATGCAATGCACACACCCTTCGTGCAATGCAACTGCAAATCTCTCACGCAATGCAATGCAATTGCAGCCCATGCAGCGCCGTGCTCTGCAACGCACAGAGCAAACTGCAATGCGGGCACGCAAAGGTGCTTTCTCCCAGTTGCATATTGCAAACGTGGCGCCCGTTACATCCCTCGCAGTGAGGTAACCACCAAAAGGACCTAAGTGTCCAGGTAGAGCAATGGGGGAGCATGCAGCTCCAGGAAGGGAAACTCCCAGTGGCTGAAAACTGAAAAAGCGAAACTTAACAGACTCTTCAGCACGAGGGAGCCATGGCTGCTGCAGGGGGTCACATCCAGCGTCTCCGTGATGAAGCCACTTGCCCCATCTGCCAGGATTACTTCAAGGATCCAGTGACCATCAGGATTTTTGCATTGGGCTACTCCAAACTTATGGGACGCGGGTGGCGCTGTGGGTTAAAGCCTCAGCGCCTAGGACTTGCCGATCGAAAGGTCGGCGGTTCGAATCCCCGCGGCGGGGTGCGCTCCCGTTGCTCGGTCCCAGCGCCTGCCAACCTAGCAGTTCGAAAGCACCCTCGGGTGCAGTAGATAAATAGGGACCGCTTACTAGCGGGAAGGTAAGACGGCGTTTCCGTGTGCGGTTCTGGCTCGCCAGAGCAGCTTTGTCACGCTGGCCAAGTGACCCGGAAGTGTCTGCGGACAGCGCTGGCCCCCGGCCTCCTGAGTGAGATGGGCGCACAACCCTAGAGTCTGGCAAGACTGGCCCATACGGGCAGGGGTACCTTTACCTTTACCTTTACTCCAAACTCACTGTCAAATCACATGTCTGTGACCACAGCATGAACCACCAAAATCATACATCCACTGTTTCGTTCAGAATTCCCCCCCCCCCCCCGGTTTTCCTCCTCTAAAAACTAGGTGCGTCTTATGGAGCGAAAATACGGTAATACTGCCTTCAGACAGATGGGTGGGGGTACAAATAAAAACAATTATCATCCTGATCATCACTCCGATAACCCTCTCCTCCATGAATTTGTCTTTTTTAAAATCAGTGGCTGTTAGGTGCTTTTGTGGCAGTGAGTTCCACAGTTTAACTGTGGAAATACTTTTCTTTGTCCAACGTTCCGGCTTCATTGGATGGTCTGGCATTATGGAGCGCGAGAAGCACGTTATCAGTGTTCCCACACGGCTTGCGTTTCCTTTTCTGTGCCACGCATTAGTTTTCCCTCCATAAAATAAAATAAATGTGACAGCAGCCCATAAGATGGACCGCGCATAATTTTATAAAGTTCTGCCTCGTTGGCCTCTTCTCACATTTCCCTCTAAACCAAAAAAATCCCCAAATGTTGAAAACCTCTCCGCATGTGGGAGACGTTTCCGACTTTGGCTGGTGTTTCCGAAACTCTTCCCAACTCCACGATACCCCTTTTGGGAGGGTGGGGACCGCATGGGGAGAGCAGTGTTGTTAGCAGAAATATGAATCACCCCACACTTAGTCCTTTTACAATTTCTCTCTTTGTTGGAAGCTGCCTTAAAGGTAAAGGGACCCCTGACCATTAGGTCCAGTCGTGACCGGACTCTGGGGTTGTGGCACTCATCTCGCTTTATTGGCCAAGGGAGCCGGCGTACAGCTTTCCGGGTCATGTGGCCAGCAGGACTAAGCTGCTTCTGGCTAACCAGAGCAGCGCACAGAAACGCCGTTTACCTTCCTGCCGGAGCAGTACCTCTTTATCTACTTGCACTTTGATGTGCTTTTGAACTACTAGGTTTGGCAGGAGCAGGGACCGAGAAGTGGTCAGCCAGATGGGCGGGGAACAAAAGAATAAATAAATATGATAATTCCAGATCCAACACAATTAGCCTTCCTCCCCTGTCTAGCCACCGCCGGTATGAAATTGTGTCTTCATTTTTTCTTTCTTTTTAATCATTGTTATTGATTTTCCAATAAAAATAGCCAATCAAGATACCCGAATCATAATCCAATTAAAAATAATAAACTAAAAACAAAACAACCAAATTGTAGTTATTAATTTTTACAGGCTCCCTATAGTCTGGACCTCTGAAGCATATCTCCAAATTTTCTTCCTGCCTCTTCTCGTTGCTTTCATATTTTCCTCCTTCTGATCTTAACGCTTTAAAGTTCTCCGTCCCTGGCTATGCGATTCTCAGTCATGTCAAAAATCATATATCCTTTCATACATTGAATACAGCTTTATTTGTAAATATATATTTTTTTGTGTCTTCATTTTTTCATATCGGTTTCTATTAAGGGTTTTCAGCATAAAACTCAATGAAAGCCAAACTAATCCAAAGACCTAGGGAAGAAGCAAGAATAAGGAAAAGAAGGAAATAAAGAAGTAGAAAAAGAAGAGAAGATGAAAAAGAAGTGTGTGTGTGTGTGGAAATCCACAAGATCCTCTATCCTAATTTATCTTCACCCCCGAGGGATGAACAACCACAATGATCAAAGGTCTAAACCTTATGAGGAACGGGTTGAAGGAGCTGGCTAGGTTTAACCTTGAAAAGAGGAGGCCAAGAAGAGGCAAGATAGCCAATTTCAAATTTTGAAAAATAAATTTCAAAAACCAAGCAGAGGGCCTTCTCGGTAGTGGCGCCCTCCCTGTGGAATGGCCTTCCTTCAGCTGTCAAGGAGATAAAAGAATTACACAACTTTTAGAAGACACCTGAGGCAGGCCTGTGTAGGGAGGTTTTTAAAGCTTGATGTTTGTTTTGGTTTTGTTTTTTATTATATTTTTAGTTATTCTGTAAGCTGCCCATAGTGGTCATGTGAGAAGATGGAACAACTTGTTCTCTTCCCTGTTTTTGGAGGCAAGACTGGAACCAATGGTTTTTTAGCCCAGACAACAGGTCTCCGGGAGGGACGCGGGTGGCGCTGTGGTTAAACCACAGAGCCTAGGGCTTGCCGATCAGAAGGTCGGCGGTTCAAATCCTCATTATGGGGTGAGCTCCCG